TGTGGAAGAAAGCCTGGTCCTTGGGCACCCCAAATGGGAATGGTCTTCTAAATAGAAATCAGTCTAAATGTGGCGAACTATTTTCAAAGCTGTGGGTTACAGCAGGATTTAGACACTTAGGTTCATGGTGGTCCCAGCAATCTTCTCACTGATACAATCTTGCCACAAGGTAAACTGGACGAGGGGACAGAGTAGGTTCACTATTAATATGAAAGCAGTCCCTATAACAATGGAAATATCCACAACTATACTCAGACAGTCATCTTTTAAAATATTTAAACAAATCCCTGTAGTACAGGTGCTCAAAGTCCGATAATACAAGTCACTGTTCAAAATAGTCATTTTGAAAAGGTTTGTGACATTTTGATTTTTAAAAAAATTAAATGGCTTAGGCTAAATGTTTTCTTTCACATATTTAAGTCCTTAAGCTTTACTCCTGGGAAACTGGAGTGTGTTTTCAACAGGGTCCTGGCCATGAGGCTGAGGACGGATTTGCTACAGTTTTAACGTGTTGTGGGTTTGGCTGCAGGAAAGCACCAATAGGTGTGTGCAGGAGTGGACCCAGGTTTGGAGGGGCCTGAGTCATGCAATTTGGAGCCCTTTTTAAGAAAAAAGAGGGACTTCCCTGGTGGCGCAGTGGTTAAGAATCCGCCTGCCAATGCAGGGGACATGGGTTCGAGCCCTGGTCCAGGAAGATCCCACATGCCGTGGAGCAACTAAGCCTGTGTGCCACAACTACTGAACCTGCACTCTAGAGCCCACAAGCCACAACTAGTGAGCCCGTCTGCCACAGCTACTGAAGCCCACACACCTAGAGCCCGTGCTCCGCAACAAGAGAAGCCACCGCAATGAGAAGCCCGTGCACCGTAATGAAGAGTAGACCCCGCTCGCCGCAACTAGAGAAAGCCTGTGCTCAGCAACGAAGACCCAACACAGCCAAAAATAAATAAGTAAATTTATATAAAAGAAAAAAAGGAAAGAAAAAGAAAATAATATGCAAGACAAAACAACAAGCAAGGCCTTAGAAAGCAAGCAAACAAAAGGCCCTGGACTTAAGCTCATAGCTTCAGGGTAAACCCACCTCCAGGTGCTACCTAGCAAGGGCTCACTCACTGCCCAACGTGCATAGAAGCCATGACTATGGCACCGGCTTTTGAAGAAAGAAGGAGCTTTATTGCAAGGTTGACTCTCAAGGAGACAGAAGGCAGGACTCAAATCTGTCTCCTCCATCCAGGTCTCAGGCGAACTTTAAGGGGTTCGGGGAATTTCAAACTTAGAAGCTGTTTAGCCAGTCTTGAGTCAGCCCATACAAGCTACTCGTGCTGCTGGAAGCCAGGTTTTCCTTATAGAAAGACTTCTCACTTCCAAAAGGGCTCCAGTGGCAACACTTTGAGTTCCATAAACTTCTTTGAGTTCCATAAAGTGAAAAATTCCCGGTTCCGGGTTCATCCTGAAGACATGGGGTCCCGTCTTGCACCTGCGCAGTGCTGCCTCCGTAAATAACTTGTCTGATTAATCAACAACCTATTTAAGGAGGCAAAACCAGTTTATGCTGTGCTGTTTCACAGCTGTCTCGTTTAAGTCAGCACAGGAATGCTTTAGTGCAAAATCTCAGAGGGCCCCTCAAACTCCACATCGACCTCCCGGTGAACATGAGCTCTAAGGAACTTAACAGAGCACTGTTGGCAGCCCTTTTGTCCCAGGGTTTTCTGCTGGGTGCCCGTGAGCTCTGCTGCAGGGCATGGCTGGAGAGGCGTGACCAGGGAAGGGGAAAGGACACTTGACCGGAGAGACAGAGGGAGAAAGAGATAGAGAGAGTGGGGAGCCCGCCTCTGCCCCGTATGCTTGTGCCACCTGACCTTGGGAATCTCCCCCAGCTCTGACCTCTAATCTATTGAGTTGGGCAAAAAGTTCATTCTGGGTTTTCCATAAGATGACAGAAAAACCCGAATGAACTTTTTGGCTAGCCCCAATATTTTCCCGTGAGTCTGGAAGAGCCAGCCAGTCGGAATTACTTGGGCTGATCCCTAAAATTGAATTTGCCAATCAGTTTTCAATTTAAGGAAAAAAAAGGCTTTCTTCTGGTCAACAGAGACCAGCAAACCTAGTTTGCAATTTCATCTTTCCCCAGAGCTGGGCGTGTTGTGTGGACCGAGGTATTAGGATGAGTGAGGGCTCCGGAAGGAAGCGTTGAGAACAAGATTCCATCATCCAGGAAGGGGCCTGGCTTGAGAGCAGGAGCTCTCTGGCTGGGGCAGCATCTCAGCCCTGGGGTCATGGGCAGGGGGCGGCGGCTCAGAGGCTGCACTGAGCTACAGAAAATGGAGGCAACGCCAGGGCAATAAATGGTGATTTTCATAAAATGTTCTTTGCAAAGCACAGTATATCCAGAGCCCTGGGAGACTTTCCAGAAGATACATGTTTAATCAGGAAGGTTGCTCTTCTCTGCCTCTGCTCTGTCAAGACTGAGCCGATGTGCTGAACGGAACTGACAGCGTTGGAGAGCGTGAGTGGACCTGAGCTGTCTGCAGCTCCGACAGCTGTGCTGTTCAGCATCCCACAGCAGCAAGGGTCCCTGCCCCGAGCCGAAACTCCCTGCAAGAGCAGAGAAGGCTACGCAGTTGCCCACTGGATAAGTACTGGTGTGGCAAAAGATTCGGGTGACGATTGGGAAAATGCAGACACTAAATGACTGCCAATGCCTAACAATCAGCCCCTTTCAAGCACTTTTTAATGGCATTTTTGTCTCATCCGAGTAGCCCTCCACCCACTCCCCAGCCCTTTCCCACCCTTCTCCTAGCTTCTCAGCGTCTTGAAGTTCCCTTGGCTGGAATGAAGCCATGATAGAAAAGCCAGGATTTGCTTTCCCTTTTTAAAGCTCCGTCATGAGCTTTACTCTCGTCTGAAACCAAGGTCTTTGAACTTCTAAAACCTGCAAATTCCTTAGAGACGGTGTCTCTTCCACCTCCTCATGGAGGATTGGGGGCCGGCTGGGGGATGGCCCACCACTCATGATTTTAGAAAGAAACCCATGTGGCTAGGAAGGACACACACACTGAAGCAAAAGAAGTAAAAGAAGTGTGACTTCGGGAAAACTCTCTTTTCCCCTGAAGGCTGCGTTGCATGGTTTGGTTTGCTTCTGTGCCTTGAGGTGGGTGAGTGATGGAAGTTCTAGGTGTGCGTCTGGGCAGGAAGATGGCAAAGTCCCTCCATCACAAAGCTATGAGTATGTGGTTCAATGGTAACTCTAGAGTTCAGAAAAAAGAGAGTGGGGATAATAGACAAGTCACATTTATTAAGCACCTACTAACTGTCGAATGTGCGGTGGTGAAAAGGGGTTTGCAGTCAGACAATCCCAGCCCCAAATCCCAGATCCATCCCCTACTTTTATCTGTAAGGTCTTGAGCAAGGCACCCACCCATATGAGATGCATCTGTAAAGAAGGGAAATATGTTTGTTCTAAGAACTCCTTCAGAAACAGTGGAGCGCCTCGCTTATTGCTCAGGATAAGCTCCCCTAATAGCCACACCTGCTCCTGAAACTCTCTAACAAGTCACCGCACAGACTCAAGTTCAAGATCTTCGAGTTATTCAGAAACTTGCCCATAGCTCAAGGGAAGGGTTTCAATGGTATCAGAGACCCAAATTCCCCCAGCTAGAAATGTGTTTCCACTATTTCCTTTGCCCAGCGGGTAAAGTGAAACAAAGGACATGAGATTAAGATTTAAGAACACTTCGAAGAAAAGGAAATATTTTGTAAAATGTTGACATTCTCTTTCACAGATTAAAAAAACCACAGCCCAATTAATGGTTCTCGAAGCTGCTGAAAACTTAGCAGCAAGGAATTCTAAAGCTTTTACGAATAGTCTGATCAGGCCCTCAGGGGCTTCTGTTGACCGTGTCTTTTTCTTTTTTTGTGTGTGTGGCACAATACATATAAAATGTACCATTTTAACCATTTTTAAGTGCACAGTTCAATGGCATTAAGCACATTCACATTGTTATCCAACCCTCACCACTATTCATCTCCAGAACTCTTTTCTTCTTGCAAAGTGAAACTCCATACATTAAAGGGTAATCCCCAACCCCTCCCCCTAGACCCTGGCAGCCACCATTCTACTTTCTGTCTTTGAGTTTGACTCCTCTAGCTAATGCATGTAAGTGGAATCATATGGTATTTTTCCTTTGTATCTGGCTTATTTCACTGAGCATGATGTCTTCGAGGTTCATCCATGCCACAGCATGTGTCAGAATATCCTTACTTTTTTTTTTTGCCGTATGCGGGCCTCTCACTGCCGCGGCCTCCCCCGTTGCGGAGCACAGGCTCTGGACGCGCAGGCTCAGCGGCCATGGCTCACGGGCCCAGCCGCTCCGCGGCACGTGAGATCCTCCCGGACCGGGGCACGAACCCGCGTCCCTTGCATCGGCAGGCGGACTCTCAACCACTGCGCCACCAGGGAAGCCCAATATCCTTCCTTTTTACAGCTGAATACTACTCCATGTCTGTACAGACCACATCTTGTTTATCCGTCCGTCGATGGGCGCTTGCTTCCACCTTTTGGCTATTGCGAATAATGCTGCTGGGAAATGGGTGGACAGTCCCCTGTATTTTTAAAACAATGTGGTAAAAGTGGTTTTCAGCATAGAAGTAACATTGGCCTCAGGCCACTGCAGGTGGCAAGGCCCGTGCCTCTGTCCACGGCAGTGTTTTTAAATTAGGTCCTGTCTGCGAACAGGGGCCGGAGCGTCAAGCCTGCGGCTGCGTGGTACTCCCAGGACACCTGTGGGTGACTATTAGTTTGAGCAGCTGTTCAGGAGCCAGGTGTCTCCAAATGGAACTGAGCTACTGTGCACCCTCCCTGCCCTCCCTGACCCAGGTGTCACTAACGGGTTTCTCTCTCTCTTGTATCCCACCCCTCCCTGCACCCTGTGCCCCCTTCCCTCCCCACCCCTTGCCAACTCCTCTCGCCTCCTCTTTGCTGGCTCCCTCCCGCTCTCCAGTGCGACCAAGACCAGTGCATTCAGAGCACCAAATTCGTTTTGCAGGCCGCGGCCACGCCCCTGCTGCAGAGCGAGCCCAGCCTAGCCAGCGATGAGCTGCACCTGCCCGGGAAGCCGGGCCTGGGCACGCCCTGCGCCAGCCTAACGCTGGGGCAGCCCACGCCACCCTCCTCCATGCCCAACCTCGCCGCCGAGGCCGCGCTCACAGACATACTGCCCCTGAAAGAGGAGCACGTGGGCCACCAGTTCCTGACCCCGGAGGAAGCGCCCTCGCCGCCCGGGATGCTGGCGGGCAGCCCGCTGGCACACAGCCGCACCATGCACGTCCTGGGCCTCGCCAGCCAGGACTCTCTGCACGAGGATTCGGTGCGCGGCCTGGTGAAGCTCAGCTCCGTGTGACCGCGGGGGCCTGGCCCGGGGGCTGCAGACAGCAGGAGCAACGGACGGACGGCCCCACCGCGACTTCCCGCGACCCAGTGCCGGGGTGGCCACGACGACTCCAGGTCCTGAGGCAGGAAGAGCCCTGGGAGAGAAATCGGATCCCCCTCTGATGGCAGAGGCGGGCAGGACCCAAAGGCTGGCAGCTTGGTTCCATTTGAATTTTCTGCCCCACCCTGACCATTCTGATAACGGTGGAAACAGAGACATAGCTGTTTTCAGGTGTTTGGAATATGGAGGGTGGGCGTGGGGAGGGAGGAGCCTCGGGGGGCCCCCAGTCGGAGTCTGGACGGAGATACACGGAAGGTTTATGACACTTGTGGCCGGACTGAAATTGCACTTAAGTGTTATGCTACTAATATTTGAAACAGACATGCCATTCCATTTGTTAATTTAAGAAAAACCTAAGGGGAAACAATGACCAGATGTGGACTTGCATGCCACGCTGCAGTCTGTTCACGGTGGTGATGGTATTGAAAGGCAACTGCTGCTTTCTTTCTTCTTATTTGTTTTTTCTTTTAATTTTGTGAATTCTCAAGTGCTGTTTTATGGGAAGACAGTGCAACAAACCAAGACTAATGGACCAACGCCATCCGTCGCCAGCATCTTCAGCTTAATTCTACATGGGTAGGTGGCGCGCCTGGGCTGCGGAGGGCTCCCGGGGTTTTATCCCATCAAGCATCAGTTAACCTTCTGTTTAGTGGTTAGCCGAGGTGTTGTGTTGTACCACACCTGGCACAGTCTTCACCTCCTTGTGTGACCAAACTCCTGTGGACAGCCAATAAAAGGACGTCCTCTGTTATTTTGGATCTGTGTACAGTTATCCTTAACAGCTGAAATGACAACACCGTCGCCCAGATGGCCTGAGGAGAGTTCAGTTTTATTGACGTATTCCTAGGGAGGAATGGTCCCCAAACAGTCAAAACATCAAATCTTTGAATTGTGGGGGAACGATGGGATGATTTCTTAGGTAAAAGAGCAGCTTTCCATCAGTTGTTTTTTCTTTTCTTTAGTTATCTCTTTTCGACACGGTCTTAGTGGAATTTACTCCCCGTTTACAGATTGGCCCATGGCAGCGAATCTACGGCGGGTTGTAGGGAGAGGGCTCAGGGAGAAGCTGGGCTCTGGAGCGTCTGCTCTGCGTTGTGTTTGAGTGTTGCCAGAGCTCGAGGGTAACTTGAGGTCCCGGTAAAGGTATCAGAAAAGAGGAGGAGGAACCAGCTTATTTTAGGCAGAGATCACGTAGATTGTCATTCTTACCTAGCCACTAATCAGAATGGAATTAAGAAAATTTCCGCTTCATCCATGTTCATGTATCATCTAGAAGGGAACTCACTGGCTCTGTACTTAGGGAGTAAGTCACTTTGGAGGCAACTGCCAGAACTCGGCTGGCTTCTCTCTTTTCCAGATGATAAACCCAACAGCCAAACCGACTTATGTTTGAAATCATGCTCTGTTCCTCACAGTCATATGAAAGGCAGGATACACTGATCGGTGATACCAGAAGCCCTGGATGATTTGCATTTAAGGAAAAAGGCTGTTTCTCGTGGGAAAGAGTTGCCATTTTATATAAAAGAAATAGAAAAGCACAATTTCAAGTCTATTTGGAATAAGGCCAATTCTTCGTAGGTAAAAAAATAATTTGTGCTGGAAATAACTGCGGAAGTCTTGCATCATGGTATCTTTGAGTCATCCTTATGTTTCATTCTGTATATGTGAATAGAAAATGGGAAAGGTAAATTATGTGCAGCCATTTTTGATTTTCTGGACCTCCTAAGTACTTGTACCCACTTGGAACTTATACTGAAGGGGACAGAGCTCCTTACACGACCACACACACGCAGGCTCACGGTCATCAACACGTAGGGATTCTCCTTGCAGGCAGTGCCTGTGAGCAAAAAGTGACAGCCCCACAGTGTGCCTTCCACAACTTCCCAAATTCTCTCTGCACTTTGCCTCCTTGCATCTGCTCCCCAGGGACCCAAGGAGAGAAATGGGCCTGGTGAGAAGAGAAAGGTGGCTCGGTTCTCACTGCTACCTATGTGGCCACATCCATTCCCGGCTTCTTCACCTGGAGGACAAAGACAGTGTGGCCTTTCCATCTCTAACACTCTCTAATTCAATGACTGCAATCTCCCATGACCAGCCCTTTTCCCACCTCACTGTGAAAAAAATCCAAGAAGCAAGGCTCCTCACTCATCTGTCTTTACATAATGAATATTTTCTTAATATTTATTGTCAGTCCTCCATCCCGTCTTCAACTCCATCCCCTGTACACACTTGATGTCGTGTATCAAAGAGGGGATTAGGGATATTGGTGACACCAATCAAAGCTATTCAGGGTCCAAGAGGAAGATTAATTTGAATGGGCCAATTTGCTAAGACAATTAACCTCTTAAAACCCCAAACCAGAGAGATACCCATAGCCCTTTCCTCTGTGGCTTGAAAAAGAATGGAGAGTCTACAAGTTGAACAGTCGTGCTCCCAGGAGCTTCATTCTTCCCAATGGATGGAGTGTTGATCTTAGGAGACTGACTTGCCCAGTGGTGGGTCTGCATTTCCCATTAACTGCTTATATATAAATATATTTAATATTGAGTGGTTCCATCTAGTTGTGGCTGAATAAACCTTGATCTTCCTAAATCCTGTCAGTGTGTTACGGATTGATTGCATGCTAGCTATAAGAAAAAATAAGATATTTTACCATGCTATTAAAGCTTGGACCATTATCAAACACACTCATTTGTTGTTTAAAAATTCATCTGCTTCCAACCTCCCAGGAGTGCTCGGGCACTTCAGGCTTCCCAGGCACTTGAAGGCTGAATTTAGCCTGAATGCCCTGGTCCCTAGAAAGGCTGTGGGATGGAGCAGTAGGGCAGCCGGGAGCCTGCATCTGAAAGGGCGTGATGACATGTCACTCTGTGCTTCGGGACACTCGGCCCAGCATTTGTGCTGTGCTCACTCGAAAAATGCTCATTCCAGCTTTCAGATTTAATCATTTCAGCCCGTGAGAATGATGGGACATTTTCACACTGTGCCAACAAAATGCCCAATACCTGTTCTGGCCCAGAATAGCACAAAGGAAGGATCTTTTCGGAGCACTGCCCGATCCCTCTAAGTGCACTGTGATCTTCCCCTGTTGTGTTTAGGATGTCAACCAGGGTTCAAAACGAGAAGCAAACCCCATATTATGAGCCGTGTTCCTCCTGAGAGCTGAAAGGGTCAGGCCCTTTCTGTGGCTTTGAAATCACTTAGCGCTTCATGCCCTGGGCCTGGGTCTCCTGATTCAACAGCAAGAGAAATGGGTTTGCCAAAATTGGCAGTGGTGTCCTTGGCGCTGGGGCTTGTGGTGGTATCTGCAGGGAAATACTGGAACCCGAGCTGTTTGGGGTCCCTGGCACAGCCCTTTGGTGGGTGCAGAGGTGGTGACGGGCTCCTCTGTGGGTCTCAGAGCCTCCCAGAGCCCCACCCGACAAACACTTCTCTGTAACTTAACTGCTCCCTTCCAGAGCTCAGCCCACAAACCATACTCTTCACTAGCAGCCCCCTGCTTCTCCGCCTTGCCTTATGGTTTTTGAGTTATAGCTGAAAGGCGTCAGGGGGTTGAGCTAATAGTATAAGGAATATACTAAAGTTAGTTGCCTTTTATTTGTCTACATTGGTTAGCCCGTTTAGTTCTTGATCAGGTAAGAGAAGAGAGTAAAGGGAATAAATGTTAAATATAGTTTTCTAATTAATGCCTTACAAGTGTTTTGAAGCTGAGCCTAAATCAAATCGATGTTTACATTTTTTATTAAGTTCCTATGTGTCTTGCATGTTCGTGTCCAAATGAGAGAGCCTTTCAAACAAATTCTATTTTTTTTTTTTTTTTTTTTTTTTCCCAAACGAATTCTTAATTCTGCTGGTCCCCCTACACCCGCCCCGGAGGCATGTGTATGGCATTGTGTGTTGTTTTCCACGTCACCTCGTTAAAAAAAAAAACTGCCTCTCATCTGTTCTCTTGAAATGTGTGTCTCTCTCAGTCTTATAAGAATAAGTTATCACTGGAGTATTAAATAAGCTGAAGCATTGTTTTCTTGCAAAAAAATGTCAAAGATACTAACAGTTTCGTAAATCGGTAAATCCTGTCTACTTGCCCATTGTGCATGGTCCTGATAATACAGCCAAGATGGATTTTCAAATACAAGTGGTTAGTACATTAATCCAGCAATTAAAAATAACTGGGAGGTTGGAGACTGGATTGTTTCTGGAGCAACCGAATTTGCAGCTGCCGCACAACTAGATAAATGGCCTCAACTGGAATTATTTTACTTTTTTAATCTCATAAACCCCAGGAGTTACATACAGAATGGATTGGAAAGTGAGCATCTTGTGCTAATGCAAAGACTTTTCTTCCATCAATTGTTGACTTTTTAAAAGGTACTTGGTATTGCTTATGAAGATATGAATGAAAAACTTTAATTGCCCTTGATATTTTAAAATGGATTGTTAAATAAGAGGCTGTATGGCATATCTAAAGAGACATGTTTTCTGGGTTCTATATAAATGGAGATGGTTTTAGCCTGCAGTTTAAAAAAAAAAAAAAAAAATTGAAGCCTTGCTAATCATTTGCCCAGGGCATTCTGGGTTAGTATTTCACAGTAGTCAAACATTTTGTCATGGAAGAAAAAAAAAAAGCATTTTAAACTCTAGTGGATTCAAAGCCCTAAATCTGAACAATGCTGAACACAACATAACACATAACATTGCATGTTTTCAGAGATAATTATGCCTATTTAAATGCCTTTCATGTTTTAATCATTGTTTGCAGAATTGATCTTAAACCTGAAATGAATTAAGAAAGTATTTCCTCCTTCAATAAAAACTGCTAATGGCATCAAATGTAAACCTCAGTCTTCATAGGATAAACACTGGGTAATTCAACAAGGTGTATGGAAGAGGAGGATTGACTTGCACTAATGAATTTGCACTGTGTAGACACCCATCTGGATAATACATGTAATGGGGTTTTCTGACCATGGATATCCAGATTGGTTTCCTACTGCTGTGATTCTCAACTTTTTATATTTACTAATGACTTTAGAACGATGCAAACTTCAAACCCCCTAATCCACTTGTTCAATGTTCCACCTTCTAACACACACACATACACCAACCTTCAAACTCACCATATAGGAATCGTGTTTGGCTCTTAGGAACAAAACCCCCCATATAACAGTG